GATAGCAATTGTTCTATTGTTCCACTTCAATGATTAATTAATTAATTAATTATCACTGATTGATCAAGATCAAGACAATGAGCTGCTGCTTATCGTTAGGCTTAGGCTTGCTATTCTTACTTTTACTGCGGTGTTTATTCATATCGCTATTTTCATATCGCTATTTTTCCATACCGCTGAATCAGAATCGAAATACCCAAACCGAAACTCAAACATTTGTGACTGAATTACTTACTTACTTACATAGACAGACACAAGACACAAGACAGAAAGCACCGAGGCAAAGACTGGTTGGCACACATGAAAAAATTTAAGCGTTTGTGACTTCAACCAAAAAATCCCAAAACGAAACAACTCGTAACTCACGATGTAACTGGAGGCTTTTCGGGGCATCCCAGCTCGCCCAAATACTGCAGTAGGCCTCGTCGAGTGACCGCCACAGATACTGGCATCGCACGCAGTGCACCCGTTGGCTGATATTATTTTGTGCCGATATTATAAACCAGGTGACATTAGAATCCTTTTGCTTTCTTGCTTGCACGAGGCACGATCAATCAATCGCTCCCTTCAGATCCTCGCAATCCCTCAAAATTCCGGATCTTCCGGATCCCGAATCTCCAGCGATTCCGTCTCGTCTATTTGCAGCGGCTATCTTCCCACTTCCAAGCGAATCGTATCGTGTAGCCGGAGCGATCAGATGATTTGTGAGCTGCTCTAAAAACTTGTGTTTTACTAACAAATAATGTAATTACTTCTTATTACTACTTTATTACTATTAAACATTTGCTGTAATGCTGCAATTGTTCTATGTAATGATTTAACAAAAGCTGTCCAAATCACTACCTAATAACTCAAAATGACTAATTATGAGCCAACCCGAATAAATCTAGCCACTTGAATCTCATCATGCTAAATCCAAGGCTAAACCTCAGCTTATGCTCTTAATTAATTATTCATCCAATTACTCTTAATTAATTACTCAACATTAACACACTCGACCAATTCAGTTTCTCTATCTAG